CTCCCCCCTCCTTCTCTCTCTCTCTCTCTCTCTCTCTCTCCCTCTCTCTCTTTCTCGTCAGTCCACATTTTACTTTACTGTGTCAATGACTCACATTCTGGACAGTAACAACTACTTTTTCTTCAATTTGTCCAGTGCCTTCCAACTCTGCATGCCAAAAAATAACAACATTATATTACCTCTCATAAACTCACACTGTGGTTACGCCGTAGAAGCTTCTTCTGCATTGCTGTCAGACCTGTCATCTCCACACTCGTCTGATTCTTATTCTGTGTGTAAAGAAAATCTTCCGGTGTCAAGATAATTTGGCTAAGAAGATGAAAAGAAGATCCCAAATAGAAAAAAAACTTACTAAGTTTTTACTAACTCTACTAACTGTAGAGATACAGTTAAAAAAAGATACAGATCAGTCTTCGTTCCTTTCATACAGAATTTCTTTTTTCTTAATTAAAGTTATCACTTACTGTACTTAACATCCTCCTTCGAGGAACAATCCACTCTAAAAAAAGAAGAGTTATTTTCCAGATGTACTTACAGTGAGTTCAGCAGATATTTCCGGATCTAACATCTGGGCTTCCTGTGTACCCAGAGGCTCAGTCTGCCAAAGGGCGCGTGCATGTACACAGAGAAAATTATTTAATTCTCCTGTGTGCGTGACTGAGGGGAATCTAGAGGCAAAATATGAGATATATTGTTCATCAGTATTGCTTAGGTTGGGAAGAGAAAAAAAAGTGGGAAACATCCATTGAGTGAGGTAGCATAGCATGCATTAGAGAGAGATTAAACACACAGCACATGGAGGTCTGGAGCATGAAGTTTCTCCACTAGCACTCTAGCCTCAATAGACCACAATACATTGTAGCATCAAATAAATATCTTTCTCTTACAATTACAATTGGCATAATGTAATTTGTGGTAACTACATAGATATATGTATATATATAGAGAGAGTGATATGATGTAAGGTAGTGAGGAGATGTAGCTGACCTTTGTTGTCAGTACTCAGTTGTCCAAAGTAGACATTAAAGTGGACTAAGTGACACAGATGAGGCTGTCCCTGTCCTCTTGCTTTACCCACAACCTGAAAGAAGTTTTCATTTTGTACATTTTTCTCAGCCTGAATCAAGCTCCTAAGGTTTGGGCTGTGAGAACATTTTGGCGTCATGGCCACAGGGATATTCCAAGATCACATGACTCACACTGGTCCAAAAAGCCTTTTTTCACAAATTCAATCATTACAAAAGAAAAAGAAATACAGAAGAAGAAAGACAAGAATACATTTTTCTAAGCATCACAATCACGTTGAAATAGCTCTTTTTATGATCAATATTTAATCCAATAGGTCCAATTACATTTGAAGACTGAAAAAGCTGTATTATTAGATTACTGAAAAACTTTTTAGGCTAAAGTCACTTTCAGTGAAATAAATAGGATGCCATTTTGGTCAATAGTTTTATTATTATATCCATGGCCTAAACCAAAAACCCTAAAGATGAAGGTCACAACTTCCTCTGAGTATCTCAGAGGCAGTCTGGGGAATGTAATAAATCAGAAATTGCAGTTTGGAGGTAGCCTGACAAAATCATCAAGAAAAAATACCAGACACCCCGAAACTACCACTTGATGATATAGTGTAAGACCATCTGTGGGGGGAATTCCATTTTTATAAGCAGACTTGTGGAACAAAGTCGCTGTCTCCTTTTTAGTGGTCTTGGCCTGGAGCCTACTTGTTCTTAGCACTCTGATTGGTTGAACCTATTTGGAAGGGTGACTGTGATGGTAAAAACAGCTAATTATACGGCAAGCACACCCCACACAGCCTCATGAAGACCATTTGTTACCATCTGCAATTCACCAACTCGCTGCCTTTGTGAATTCCTGAAGAGTGCTTCAGTAGAGTGTGAGCAACCTGGAAACACTGAATCCAAGTCCATCCACATACCAAACTTATGGTCATAGGTTTGTGGGGGTAGGCGCTAATCAAAGTTACAGTTATTTTCCGTTATTTTCCCCCTTGACAACAGTATATTTTTGGTTAACCCTAACCTGTGTCTTAGTCAATCTCTCTCTGGTGTTATTCTCCAAAATTTCCCACGATCTGTCTTTAACCTACTTTCACAGCCCTCCCTCTCCTCTCAATAGCTATCCGTCACCCAGACCTTCCTCCACTCACTCAGTTTTGGCTGTGTTCTGCTTGTTTTGCTCCCTGACAGCCCGCTCAGCTTGGTGAGCAGTCAGCCAAGCACATGCTACAGGTACAAAGACAAACACATGAATAAGAGTGAAGTCTCTATGTGTGGTAGGGGCTTGTGTTTCTACAGTAAAAGCAAAACGTATTAACGCTAGAAAGATGAGGAAAAACATCCAATGATGCATATCATCTAACAATCTTTAGAGATAAAGGCCTATGTGTATGCAATATTTTTACAATGATACAGTGTTATTGTAGTTTTGATTAATGTTATTACAGTACATTACAGTACATGCCTAAACCATATAAAAGGGTGTTAATCACTTCTGCTTTGATCCATAGTGGTCTCACCCAGTGGGTTTGGGGATTGGGTTTACTGAGTGCTGCTGCAGATACAGGTCAGGTCACAATTTGAATTCCATGCCATTCCGAGTGAGGTCGACCCTGAATTTCTGGGCCTATTTAACTCTACTAGGTTGGGGGATCAGTAGGGGCCAACATTGTGTTAATCAGACTATGTTTAAGAGATGGATTGGGGCCAAAGGTAAATATACTAACTCTATACCTGTCAGTTCAACAGCAATGGATAAACACAGCTGGTCTTTATTCCAGTCTGTTCCAAAAATCTCTGTACTTTTTTCTTTTTGTTTGTTTGTTATTTTTGTTTAGTTTTGTATTGTTTATAGTTTATGAGCATGCATTTACAAAAACACACGAGAGGGATGATATATGATGTCGTAACAAAATGATTTCTGAAATACTTTCAATAAGAACTATTGGTGGAAAAAGAAAACAGCTGGTTTTAATTAGATATACACACACAATGATGAACACACAGCCACACAGAGTATAATATTGCTTGACAAGACCTGTATTTTTGCTATGAGGGGTAGACCTTGAGACCTCCTTCAACTTAAGTTAATAACACGATGCGATTGATGTGGGACTGTGTGTGTGTCTTCCTCTATGAACCTGAGTTGGCAATATAAGTTTAAGTTACTTTTCCACCCAAAAGAAATGTGCTGTAAAATAAAATGCTGTAAAATAAAATTCAAAACAATCAATCACTGCATGCAAAGCATTAGTTGCAACCTCAGTAAAATCCCATTGGAATTTAGACATCTTTATCTTGGCAGCTTTGCTCAGCACACAAGTTCAAGAGTTCAATACTTGTGCCAGACTTGAAACTCTGGTCCAGAAAGGCATAAAACCTCACACATATTCCTGAAAAGAGTCCAATAAATAATACAAACAACTACCCCAAAAAGCGGGGGCACGAGGTGAAAAGCTTGTCCTTCACAGCTGAGCAGCACTTGTAAATGTGATTTTAATGCTGTTTACTCTAGTTTGTGGTTGCCCAAACCTGTGATGTGAAGGGAGTGGCTCACTGCTCTCCCCACGAAATGTGACCAGGGATATGCTCTGTGCTTTAGCAGTACTCTTTTACATGTAACACACTATATATGTATATATACATATAAAACACTTATAGGTGTAGTGCTGCCAGAGCACACAGGAATTATTCTGCACCATTTGTATTCTTTAAGTGCTTGAAAATCCAGTTTTGTCAGCCGGTTTGTGCTGCATCCATAGTGCCTGCAGGAAATTAAACCTTGCTTAGCTAAATTTTTTGTAACCAAGGTGAGCTTGATCTCTGCCTGCACTGCAGCTTTCCCTCAGAATGGATGTTTCCATTGTTGCTTAATTTTCTCAGTAAATGAAATCATTCAAAACACAAACTACTTGTGGTCATTCTCCTATGTACTGATCAGCTGTACTGGTGCAGTTACATCATCAGGGTTTGACAAAAAGAGCGACATACATTACAGTGGAACCTATTATATTATATTGAAACACAGTAACAGTTTAGTGTTAGCCTTGGTGATCGTCAGTCCCTCTGGCAAACATTTTTATTCTCTGTTGTTAATTGGCTCATCAGAATAGCTTTATATGTTGAAAGGGAACTCAGATCTATCTATCTTAGTCTTTAGTGTGCAAACATTTGCCAACACTAAACAGTAAGTACAGCTGAGGTTGATGGTAATGTTATTAGTTTTGCTGATATCATAAACCAAAGTATTGCACAGACTGAAATTTTGACCTCATGACAGTGTTTAATGAAGAGTCAGAGGATTGCCAAAGTTATTGCAATTCATCCTGAGGGGGGCATTGATATTAGTACCAAATTTTATCTTTATCTAAAGGTTGTGGAGACATTTTGTTAAAAACCACAAATATCAACCTAATGGTGGCACAAGGGGAAAAGTCATTAGTATGCATCATTTAAAAACCATGAATGCCTGTACAAAGTTTCA